CTAATGAGTCCCATACCAAGACGGAACAGCCATCCAGTGCTTCCAGTTTCCAAATGGTGGTCTAGCATTGATCGATTCATGATTTCAATGAATATTATCATATTGCTAGTTTATGCTTTTATTAATTTATACAGTAAACCTTATCTTTGTGACAATAAAAAAGCGCTTGAAGTGAATAGGATGCATATTGCGGAAATCACGTTATTGTGTCACGATGCCAGCCCTAACTTGGAATCCATAAGGTCAAAGGAAAAGGATCATATTCAGGAACATATTACGCCGAGAAATAGAGACAGACAGGAGAAAAATAAATAGCCATTAGTAACAACTGGAAAGAAGATAAAGTTGGTTGGAGAATTCTGTTTGATGACCTATGTTCCACAGGGAATAACAATCATAAGTAAGGAGTAAGTGAGTAGTGACAATAGTTATTGATGGTGAAACCTTAGGTCTATAATGAAAGGTGATTTTCTTTTCACTTATGTTAATATTTTTATGTCAAACTGTAATTTTAACAATAAAATACTTATTACAGAAAAATTCAGAAAGTTGTGGTTTTGAGCTCAGAATTAATATCAGTTGAGGATTTTAGACACTTTATCAACACTGTTTCTGTATCCTCATATATACATACCTGTATAGTTTGTAAATTCATGTTGAATTGGGTTTCAGAAGAATGAAACCTTGATTAAATTATCATATATCTATACAATTATAATTGATATTTAGCCGAATTACATACTTCTCTGTTCTAAATAGCTTCAGTGACAATATTGGCGAAAATTAAACTGTATTTTACAATGTTAAACAACTGTTTCATGTATTTCAAATGATATAAGCTAGTAAATATAATGCCGTTACATTTAAAATTTATTAATAATAATAAGAATGGAACTAAGATAGTTCATTAATTTATAAAAGTAAGATATCTAACATGAACTTATCATTACAACATATTTCCATTCAAAATCTTTGAAATTTTGTTGTTTTAATTATTGATAAATGTCTAATGTTTGTTTAAAACAACAATTTATATGTACTAAATTCAATATACAACATAATCATCATAATGCTATAAATCTAACTAATTAGACAAAGAAGTGTAAGAAATATTGTTTGAATCGCTTGTTAAAATGATGATGATCATCATCATTAAACATTAGTTAAATACTTTTAAACAATAAGAATGTTATTTTAGTTGATTTTTACAAATCTTGTTTTAATCATCATAATATTGAATATTGAACAAACGGATAAATGTTCTTGTATGTACTTTTGTGTTCATTGTTCATGGTAAATTATTTCTTTTGTAAAGTTATGATAAAACTGTCAGAGTTATTTAGTGAAATTCCATTGTATATTTCTTTTCATTGATTAAACTACTTCATGATTGATTGATGATTTGAAAAATGTGTGTAAAAACACTAATCTACATAAATCTAACTGAAAATATCGTAAAATGTGCTCAATAGTGACTATTATTAGCTTTGTGAGGAAATTCTCGGAGTTCTAGTGAGAAGACGTGGCCAGTGGAGTCCAACCCTGTCGAATGTACGTAGTAGTAACTACCACAGATAGCTAGATGAAGTCGAGCAAAATCCCTAGATCAATCAGAGGTTAGGCGTTCGTGCACAATACCGAAGGTGCCGGGTTCGAATCCTGCGAGGTGCAGGTGTCGTGGCTGCGCACTGCTGATGAGTTCCGTAAGAGGACGAAATGACCGTCCATTGCTTCTAGGTCTAAAAATGATTTACTGGTGATTTCAAATGTGTATTTCAAATTACTAAAACAATTTTCTCTACAACATATACTAAAATGGATTGATAAAAATTAATATCAAGGAATAACACTGAATGATTTGAGTGGATGAAAATCAGTCATATCAGTTAGAAAATCTAACTGATCAGATCAAAATAACTTTGTCTTATCAAAATTGTAGGTCATTGATTCAAATTCGAATGCTTCACTTCTTTCTGAAGTTTGTGCTGATGATGTTGTTCAACAGAAGAACAATGAAAGCTCCACAACCAAAACAACCAGCTCAGAGAACGAAACACCACCACAATCATCCACCTGAGCTACAAGTTTTCTCCACCATCTGAAGTGTTAGTATATCTCATCTAGTCGGGCATATATTAGTAAACAAAACCTGGATGAAAATATCCACCCTACAGTAGCTTGGAATCATCAATTCTTTAAACATTCGACTTGTTCTTCCACTCAGTAAACATCAAACAAAGTTCACGTCGAATTATGTAATATGACCATTTACATTGATTAATTCACACATTCGAAATCATCAATCAATCAATCATTGTTAGACCACCATTAGAAACATGGAAGCACTGAAAGACGGCCGTTTCGTCCTGGTACGGGACTCATCAGTGACAGTGCACATCCACGACTCCTGCACCTCACAGGATTCATACGCGGGACCTTCGGTATTGTGCGCGAACAACTAACTCTGATTGATATAGGGATTTTGCGCAACCTCACTCATTTGTCTGTGGTAGTTACTACTACGTACACTCGACAGGGTTGAACTCCACTGATCAATGATTGATTGATAATTTCAAATGTGTAAAAACACTAATCTCCATAACTCTAATTAAAAATATCGTTGATAAATTCATTTGCATTACCTTTATTGATCTTTTAAGTTTTAATAATCTATTAAAATAATTCATAGTTTATAGAAACTGGTCAATTTCATTCTTATCAACAATCTGAACGGGATAAGTTTAAATGCGGCATAATTTCCTTATACAGGTTTAAATCAACAAATCATCTTTTTTTGTATGGGGAATGAATGATTGACAAAGATTATTGTATGTGTAATTTTATTTTACAACTTATTTACGTAAATGTTTGACTGTTTGTATTTTTTTTAGTATGTGTACTGTGTGCCTATGTGTGTTTCGGCTTTTTATTTCAATTACAAAAGGGAATAGTTTAAGAATAATAATATTAATGAAATGTATTTTATGAATTCACGCGTCATTTTAACAAAATAAGAAGACACTTAAAAATTTATTTTATAAAATAAACAAACGATGACGATGATGATGATAGTCCATGAAATAGGTAAAATATGATATAAAGAAATTTTTTAACAAGTGAATAATTTATAGTTTATAAACATTTATAGACAGTTTATACCCGACCACGTCACAAGACAAGCCCACTCTTGCAAACCTCAAGGTAAAAGGAAAAGAGAAAGGCCGAAGCACACATCACGCCTAGAAAAAGAGACAGATATGGGAAGAATGAACAGAAATTCGACAGAAGTATAAAGGAGAGCCTAGGACAAAGTAGGTTGTAGAATACTGATCGGGGGTCTATGCTCGATTGGGGGTAACAGACGTAAGTAAGTAAGTAAGTAAGTAAGCTGCGTAAGTAAGTGCATAAATAAGTAAGTAAGTAAGCTGCGTAAGTAAGTGAATAAGTAAGCAAGTAAGTGAGTAAGTGAGTAAGTAAGTAAGTAAGTAAGTAAGTAAGTAAAGTATAGACAGTATGTATTAACATACAAATCCTTTTATTCTTACTTTACATTGAAATGGTGAATCAATTAAATTTAGACCACTGTAAGAAGCCTAGAAGCAGTGGACGGCTGTTTCGTCCCTGGGATGGGACTCTTCAGCTCTTTGCATCCACGAATCTTGCTACGGACAGGATTCGAACCTTGGACCCTTGCTCTTGCGCGCGAACGTTTATTAAGATTTTATACTTTAAACAAATATGTACACCTATTTAATAAGTAACAGGTTTTCTTAGTTTTTAAACTAATAACTACAATGATATAACACTTAAAATAATGATATTCAGTTGTCCACAACTGATTAGCATATTTTTGGTTCACGTACGAAATAATTCCATCAGTATGTCCTTGACTGTAATTACAGGCAATTTAATTTAGGTTATTAATGTATTTTATGAAATGCAAACTCAGAGGCAAGACAGCCTCCATGAAGATTTCAACTCATCATTGATCAGTGAGTGACAAAGTTGTATAAATGCTAAAATTAATCAAAAAAGAGTGAAAATGAAATTATTTCTTAACTGAAGAAGCCTCATCAGAGCTGAGATAGTTTTCTTCATAAATGACAATGACTGATAGTTTCATACCATCTTAGATTGATTGAAATTAAAAATGCTAATCATTAATTCTTAATTTATAGGGTAGTGGAGTCAGTTGAGTTATTTCGGAATCATGAGTCGATCATTGTTAGACCACCATTAGAAATCTGGGAGCACTGAACTGTCGTTTTTTATTTCTAGTGTGGGACTCATCAGCATTGCACATCCATGGATCACGCTACTGGCAGGAGCCGAACTCAGGATTTTCGGACGAAACGAGTGTGCAGTGTTCCTGGGTTTCTAACGGTGGTCTAACATTGATCGATTTATGATTTCAATGAAAATCAACAGTCTCCACAACTGTATAGTGAAAATTATCATGTGATCCTTAGTGACTGACTTTGTGAGAAAGTTTCCGGGAATCCTTGTAAGAAGTTATGACCAGTGGAGTATAAAGCATTGCTCATCGAAGACAGTGGATGAGATTGCACAAGACCGTGGATTGTTCAAAGTTAGACATTGCCACTGTTTGATGCCGGCTCATAGATGCAGATGTTAAGCATTTGCGCAGAAGCTTGAAGCTCCTGGGTTCGATTCCTGTGAGTGGCGGGAATCATGGATGCGCATTGTTGATGTGTCTCACACCAAGACGAAACTTCCGTCCAATGCTTCCAGATTTCTAATGATGATCTAACTTAAACGTTTCAAAGAATTACATTCCGGAGTTCGATCCCTGGTGGAGTTATGAGTATAAATGATGACAGAAATCTGTCTAGTACTTCTTAATTTTCTCATAGATTCACGATATGAAATATCATGATATCAAAATACTAGATAAAACAGAAATAAATTGAATATTTGGCTAAAAATAAATGAAATCAATTCCTTATGATTTAATTTTTCTGAAATTATATAAAACTTACTTTGAAGTGTAGAATTACATGGAATAATTCGTGGCAATTTATCACTGCCAAATTTTTGACATGTATATTTTTTCAAAAAACATTCATTCTGATACACTGTACCGTCTAAATCACAAATTGAATTTAATTCATTTGAACAAATTTTTATTGGACATTTTTTATACGGATTAGTTTGAATCGGATTCATTAATTCTAATGAAGTTAAATGATTTGATTGAGGTGAATCATGTTGTGGATTTTCATCAGTTTTTGGGTGATGAGAATTTTTACGGATTTGAATAGAACTAGAGGGATTTCTGTTCGATGTAAATTGTTTATTGATATTGTTTGTAGGAAGTTGATCATTGGACGCGGTAGCAGGAATAGAAGCAGCAGCAGCAGCTGAAGATGTTTCTAATCAATATAAAAAAGAGATAAAGAAACATGAATGAATATCTAATTTTCTTCTATTGATCTCATATGATTGATTTATTGAACATTGAACAAAGTGTACAATGTTCAACATCTTAGCTAAAATGTATGCGCTGGAAACTGTCAGATACTTATATATATATATATATATATATATCTGCGTACATGTGCTTTGCATAAATACCTTATTTAAATGTCAGCAAGTTATTTCATATCATTTATATGCATTTATTAGGTAATAAGCATATAATTTTCTTCGCTCAGTCTATTAACAACATCTTGAAAAGTAGTAACTGAGTTTATAATACTGGTTTTAAGTTATTGTTATCATATAAAAAAAAACTATAGTATTATGAATCTGATTACGATTTTGAATAACAACTTGTTTAAAATGTTTATAAATTATTTTATTTGGTATGAAAACCTAATTATCTGATTAATAAATATCCGAGGTATACCCAACCAAGGAAGTAACAGATGACGCCGAGAAATGAAGACAGATATGAGAGGAATAGACAAAAATTGGAAAGAACTAGAAAGGGAGGTCATGGACAGAGTAGACTGAAGAATACTCATCGGAGGCCTGTGCTCTATTAGGGGTAACAGGCGTCAGTAAGTAAAGTAAGTAAGGTATACTCAAAGAACGTCAGTATCAATAACCTTAAAGAATGTATGTGTTCATGTGTAGTGATTTTTTTCTATAGGAAATTCTAAAATCAATACTGATCATGATTATTGGATTTTGTGAATGTTACGCACAAATTCAAAGATTACAACATGCAAAACTAGTTCATTTTGATGTAGATAATTCATTGATGTTTATTATAGAACGCTTTGTTTTTCTGTTGTACAATACTCCCAGCAATCAATTACCAATCTTTATTTTGCCTAATGTTTAGTTTAAATCAGCGAAAATTAAACAATGTCGCTTTGGATTCATTCAAAGGTAAACTGAATTTTAAACAACAATAATAATAAAGTCTATTTGATTCACTCAAATTCTGCATTGATTCAATCGAAATCTTACTGAATATGTCATAGTAAGCAAATTAATAGTAGTTTTGTCAAACCAAACAGTTCATTCATTAAAAAGATAAAATTTTTAATACATTTTGAAAATTGAACCCTGAATACTTCTTGAGTTGAATGAAGTATTACTGTTAGACTTTATTTAATATCTTGCTGTGGTTTATCATATAAAAAATACATTCCTATCTGTTGCATACGACTTATGCCTATAAAATGGTTTGAAGTCTGTAATGATTATTTCCAGATTACATAAACATATAATTCTACCATTTAAACGCCACATCTCGCAACATTTATCAGCTGATAGTGAGACGTTATTTGAAACTTATTGTCACGAACCGATCTAAGTCAAACAGTCATTGAGAAACTGTTTCGTCTTAGTGTGGGACTTCTTAGCGATGCCCATCTACGACTCTACAACTTAGAATCGGACCCAGGTCTAATGTGCAGATACACAACTTCTAAATCAATGAGCCAGCATCCAATAGTGTACATGTCTAACTTCCATCAATCTTTGATATGTTGCTGCTATCATCTCCCATTGTCTTCGATAGGTAAATTTCTCTCATTCAACATCATTTAATTGCAGTAGCCAAAGTTCCTCACTGAGACTCCTAAAATATTCTCTCGAAACTGATCACCGGTGAACACTTGCCAATCATCAATATCTTATCGTTTTTGTTCAATGTTCACTATATCTCAACCGCCAGTAAAATTTTTTATAAGCTTTAGGAAAGAGATTAATTTTCTACTGTAACTCTTGGAGAGACCCGTTAAATCAGAATTTCAATATATTTCAGTTTATTCAGATGCAACAAATTTTGAAGCTTTCATTGAAATATTCTCAAAAGTTTATTGAATTTTTATTTTATTTATTCTAATTTAAGCAGTTACACATCTACCCAGCATTAGGTAACTTGAGCCAACAACTGAGCTGTCATTTGTTCACCATTCTCTAGCTTCCTTTGTTAAGGATGTTAGATCCACAGAAGTAGCTTGATTAATGCCTTATCTTGGATTTCACGTTTGCGAGCATGGGCTGATCAGTTGACCTTGAGGTTTCATTTCCCACCAGGAAAATCCATGTCTCCGATTGGCTGCTGTGTATTTTAGTGTGCTATTTTTGTGACTGTCTCAAGGACGTTTCTATGATGTATAAATAAACAAGAGTTGTATGCTTGATTGTATTGTGATTGCTGGGTGTTGCAGAATATGCTTACCAAGACTTCTGTTTACAGCTTGGGATTCAAGGTAGCCTATCTGGACGCTGGTAATTGTCTCGTTCGCGTTTATCGACTAAGGTGAACTCGTAGTAGCTTCAAGCGTATCTAGGGCCGAACTTAACATCCTTATGTGCTGAGTCCAGAAGTTACCGATCAGTCTCACCAAATTACAAGCGAGTACTTGACAAGGTCGAAAGCCGTGAACATAATAACTCAAGTAGAATGGACTCATTACTTTTTTCCCAAGGCTGAAGAGACAAGCCTTGTAGGCTCGACATATTATAGTACTCACTACAAAATGTTTTGCGAATAGGAGAAACTGTAACTAATCCACTGGTAACAGATTCGGTATAGTAAGTTGTACAACAATAGTTAATGATTTAAACATATGCTTCAATCTTCAATCTTTATCCTGATATAACAAAACAAAAAACATTTTATTGTTAAATGTTCAATTTGTTACACCCAAAAAAATATAACAATAAATACCCTTTATGATAACTTGATTGAATAAAAACAGAAATTTTGTTCATTTATTAGGATTGGCTTACATTTGATAGATTGATAAAATGTAAGTTTTTTTTAGATTTGTTTTAATTAATCAGTGAAGTGTGTACAAATTTGACTAAAAACAGGAAATTAAATTTACAGAAATCTTTTTTAAAAAAACAGTTTCAAATCAACATATTATTGACATGATATAGTAAAATTAACAGTTTTTTAATATTTATGATTCATGTCAAGAGTGGAAGTAGGTACTCATCGCAGAAATTCAGTTACAACAATATTACTTTGAGAAGTTTTGTTAAGAAATGAATTAGATGGATATATACACATATGTGAAGTACTTTCAGTTCAAAATGTCCCTTAAATCAGCTTGCCAAGATCTTATTTTCAAGGGTTTCAATTTTTCTGTTGTTGTTAATTTGAAAAGACTTGAAAGTGATCAGTCTTTACTGACATTTATTCATTCTATAGAGTATTTAGAAATTTTTACTGTGTTTTAAGTTTTAATAAAGTTGGAGAATGATTAATATTGGAACCCGGGATGTGTGTTACTTCTTACTTGAAACAAAGAGGACTAGGTACAAGTATCAAGTTTTAATCTGACAGTAAGCATCAACATTGAGATCTTCCGGTACACTTGGTTAACATGTCCCAAATAGGACGCTTTGTGATAAGACAACCGATCTCATCTATTATTTAGATGATATAATAAGAAGCACTGAACTATCTTGTTGGTAAATTACTGTAATACATTTGTGACATTTTGATCGTTAAGGTGTATTTTGTGAGAAAAACAAGTCTAGTTAGTGATATCATCATTGATGAAAGACCAATCGAAGTAATGGGGGTGATTATTTAGTCAAGTTATAGTTTGACTAGCTCCATGAGGAATCTTCCCCAAGTTCTAGTGAAAAGTCGTGATCAGTGAAGTCCACCCTGTTCGGATGTAGACAGTAACTACCGACGACAGTAAATGAGGTTGCACAACTCCAATAATTGTTCGAACACCGTTAGATACCGGCTCACTGGTCCAGAGAATAGGCGTTTGCAAGCAAGACAAAAGGCCCTGGGTTCGAATCCTGAGAAGGGCAAGAGGCGTAAACGAGGGAGAATGTTGCACCCACACACACATTACTAGGTATTAAAATAAAATCGATAACACCTGAGTAGATATTTTTTTAAAGAAAGGTATAAGTGAGAGTTGAATGGCTAATACTTCACTAAACGTTCACCTGATACGACATCTGGACCACTCAACAATCGTTGAGTTACGATCAGCCCTCTCAATCGTTTTAACTCTGTATCTGACAAAAGAGGAAGAAGATTATTTATCGAAAATTTTCGAATGAATCACTGAATTTTATCATCTCCGTGCATTAAAAAGTTTTTCACCTCTATCAGCTCATTCTAGTTATCATTATTAACAGTCATTGACAACAGAACATCATTACGTAGCATTTAATGCTTAGTTAGTCATCAGCTTTTAACCCTTATCACATTCTGCCGAATGAATTTCAGAATGAACATGTAGTGAACGAGAACACAGGTCGACAACCGAAGTGTATTTAACGAAAATTACAGAGTTACTCAGTAAAATAAGAAAACCATATTGTAAATCTTTAATTTGCAGTATATCAGTCCATCATATCGAACTGGACTGTTCCTGTTGCAAAACATCAATCCATTGTCACTATTCATGCGTTTAATACAAATTCCATTGTGTTCTAACTCTTCGTTTCTTGATCTTCCCCCATCTTCTGCTGCCAGACATTACGTTGACACTCACGTCATATACTACTTATAAGTAGCTCACACCACACTCGTCCCCCCTTTTAATAAGCTGTCGTCACTTTCAAAACAGGGACCCTGGTCAGTTAATATCACCTTCCGTATTCCGTGACGCGCTACAATATGCCGGATTACTACTTCGGTCATTGTTCTTGCCCGCTGGTCTGGAATGGGTACGGCATCTATCCAACGTGTAGCGTTTACTAGTTCCCGCTGCTGGGACACGGCGGCAGGCACACTCTCGATAAATTGCGACTCCAACAACTGTGCTCCCGACTCCCCATCCATACTCGGCAGCGTACGGCGCAGCAACATCGTGAGCACCACAGCAAGCACCAACGGTCACCATCAGCCGACAGCCTCGCCAACCGTAACCTCTGCGGCGCCTCCTCCCTGTCCACCGGGCTGTCGAACTCCGTCATCAGCCGCCCGGTGACCGTCTCCCACGCCATCTTCCAGGCGGCACCGTCCAGGCTGTCGTATATCCCCTTCACCCCACCTCCTCGCAGCGTCCCCAGCACCGCCAACTTCGCCCCGGGCCCCCACCAGCTCCACCGCGGCCTCAAGCTCCTCCAGGAAGCTCCGCAAATCTCCGTCCTCCAACTCCTTCGGTCACGGGAGCTCCTTCCTTCGAGCAGGCAGCGACACCAAATGTAGTGGTCCTAAATAGGACCTTGATGCGTTCTCGTGTGGACCAGCTGCAGGTAGCTTACTAGTTGCTCACATGCTAGCGAACTAACCGCCAAAACCGTACAAAGTACGACCCTGGCGTTTCAGAGCGTACACAACATCCATAGCTGTCACTGTCTTCCTCTTAGCATGTTCCGTGTAGGTGACTGCATCACGGATCACAGATCCAGAAACACCTTAAAATTCAATGGTTATAGCATGCACTGCGTTTTCATGTTAGAGACAACCAGAAGTATCTACAATAATGTTGTGATCAATAAATGTCCCTAATTCATTCCAAAAGAATCTAAATCGCGGAGCGGCTAACTTAACAGTAAGTCACAAAACTTGACATTTAGTGACATGAGAATGAATAGCACTGGAAACATCAGATCCTTCAAGATTGAAGATTCGCCTTACTAACGAATGCCAATCAGGATGATTTACGTTGACTACCTTGAATCACATACAAAACTTGTTACCTTAGTAAAATCTAGTCCTTATATCACGGTAATGACTTGAGTCGTAGAATTCCTTTGCAACATAACCAAGTAGTACGAATTTTTTTATGTAAATCACGTATATCAGTTCTAGAAACCAATTATTACATAAATTACCTCTCTACAAAAATTATGACACACATAAAACCTACTTTTAATACATATCCCCCTTTTAAGTATAATTTTCTGAGTCAAAGTCAACTACTTATGGCAGAACTTTAAAATTTTCGAACACTATTCAATAAAGGCATAAAAATCCTAAACATTTATTGACATTTGAATTATTGAGTATCAATCTTTAATCGACTATCAATAATTGTCATTTAATTGAATTGAATTCAATAAAACCAATTAATTTATTTGTTGAAAATAGAAAAAAAATTGAACAAATTACAAAAATAAAAACAAAAATTCAATGAATTTTTCAAGAAAACTGACAATTATTTCACCTTGTTATGTAACATTGTCCACTATTTTTATTACTTTAGTATAATTTTATAAAAATTTATAATGAGAACGAAATCGACACGACTATATGAATTAGTTGAATATATAGTAGTAAGTTGAGTAGTTAATGGTTTATTGAATGAAATTTCAGGTACAGCACATTGGATGAATATCAGTGGATGTGTAGGAAAAGGGAGAAAACGCCTGTACATTGAAATCATGAATCTGTCATTATTCGACCACCATTAGAAATCTGAAAGCACTGAAAGACTGTCGTTTCGTCCCATTATGGGAATCATCGGCAATGGACAAACACGAACCCCGCTCACGGTAATCGAACCCTGAACCTTCGGTCTTGCACTCGAACACTTTGCCTTTAGACCACTGAGCCGGCAGCCAGCGACGTTTATGTCTAACTGTCATCAATCGAAGGTTTTGAACAACCTGGCATAATGTTACTGCCTACACCAGACAGATTTGAACTATACCCATCACAGCTTCTCATTAGAACTCCGATAATTTACTCACGAAGCTAGTCGATAGTGAGCACATTCTATTATTTTTCATTATAGAGTTATGGAGATTGTTATTTTACATTGATTCACAATCTCAAAGTAAAACAACTCTATGATGGAAAAAATCAGAAAATACTTTGTTATTCTTTACTAGTATGCTGAATAATAAATTTATGTTTTCTTCCTTTGTAACTAACTTTCTGTCCAGTTTTCACCATCTAACTTAAATGAACGAGTTGAAATAATTTTTTTATTAAACTTACTACTATTAGTCATAGTTTTAATTTACAGACTGACCTAGTTCATGAGTTGCATTCATTACAGATCAGTTGGGTAACCACTGAATATTAGAGGGAATTTGATGTTTGTTTCATTTTACTGCGGAACTTCCCAGCCATACATACTCACGACTCTACTAGGCATAGATCTCAGTACCTTCGATACTCACAGTGAACCACTGACCAGCTAAACCATGGGGTTGGCATTCAGCGTTACAATTCCATTTTAGATCACATTGCAATATGACTCGAAAAACATAAAATGCTGTTGGTGACAAGCCTTTATCTTCTGACAAGTCGAAATTCATTTTGAATTTTAGGAAAACAGTATCAGGCAGGAGCACAAAGAACACTAGAGAATTTTTAGAAGCTTGGCACTCAGGTCAATTAGCAATTGACAAACATATCGACAATGACCCAATTTATCAACCAATCAGAAAAATCATAGTCAAACATAGGATCAAGAAACAGATCAAAAAGGGGGACACAATCAAAATAAAGGTGCAAACAATGACAGGTTCAAGGTCAGTAACATCCAGCAAAGGTTGAGGTTCACAGAACAAATTACAGGTCAAACGTGGAGAAATTCGAATCCTTCACTTCTGCTATCTGAAGTTTGCGCTGATGATGTTGTTCAGCAACAGAACAATGAAAGCTCCACAACCAAAACACCATCCAGTTCAGAAAACGAAACTCCACCATAATCAGACAACCAGCTGTACAACTATTATTTAATAGTCTGAAAGTTAATGCCTTATTTGTTATACATTAAACCGTTAACTTAGAAATACGAAAAAAACAATTTTCACTTACTTTCAATTAACTGACTACAATCACTTTGAGATAATATTCTACTGAAAACATTTAAATTCATTCTTTTCAATTCAGTTTGTTTTAAACAAGCTTGATGTAACATAACACATTCATTTAAATAAAATAAACCATTGATTGTACATATTGTACCACTATTCATATTACACATATGATTTCTAGCCATATCCATTAATGTTGGACATACACAAACACCAATGAATTGATCTGAATCTTTTGAAAACCATTCTTCACAAATTGCACCAAAACGGCATTCACGTTTGGCGCAACCATCTAAGTAAGTAAGAAAATAAAAAGGGATAGAAAAACAAGAATGACAATTATTACGGAAGATAAACAGCTCTTTTTTTAAAAAAAATAATGAATTCTCACAGTTACAATAATCATTTCACCAAAACTGATACTACTTTAATCAACAAGATAAGTAGTATTGTAAATAGGATACAATTTTTTTTCCATTAGTACTTAAACTACCATGTTCAGAGTAATTTGCAAATTATTCACATGGTTTTTTTTCTATATACACTTTTCTCTCTCTCAACCAAGCTACTTTTTTCTGCGATAATTTAAGTCGAATAGATAAACCTTTTCAAAAAATATAACACACAACCAATTTGTTCAATGTCGAAAACTGTTGTAGACATTTGTATTTATTTACCTGCATCCAATGAACATCATTTTCTAATCAAAAAAAGATTTGAAAAAAAAACATTCAAAGTAAAGCAATTAAGAACAGCAATATAATTTATGTGTTGGTTTTTATGTTCATGTGTGCACACTAATGGCGTATTGTTTCTCAGATTTCAATCAATATAAATGAGTTGAGTTAATAATTATTTTCGGTGCAGCTAGTTATTATATATATATACTCGACTGTATGTTTTGAATTAGAAGTTGTAAAATGTAAACTGATTAGATTTTTAATCAATGAATAATAGTTAAAGTATTTAGCAAACTTTTCATTGTATTTAAATAAAAATATTTGCGAAATAGACTGTAGTGCCTCAACTTATATTCGAGTTCGCTTACATTTAATTTGGTTAAGCCCTTTCGTTTAATTTATTTAACCAAGCCATTTGCGTAATATCAACTTATATGTACCATTCGTTCTTATCGTTGTTTAGTTTGTATGAGCTAACAGGACGTGTTCCACTTGTCATTTGACCTTGTCAACTATTCGTCGCTTTTGTTCATGTGTACCTATTTCGCTTGTCATATGTCTGTCTTATTTTTGTCTGACTATATATTCTTAGTCATGCTTGATCTCTTGGAGTTGGCTCAACAGCCTTCTTCGATTCAAGTCGCTCCATTCGTTTTATTCACGGCTTCTACGCTTCGCTTTGTAGTGTGCCCAAAAATAAACGTGTTCATTACTACAAGTTCACCTTCTGGTTTATAACCGTCAGACGCTACTTTGTAACGATTATCTGGACAAGCTAATCACGAAGCATAAGAACCCGCAGTAAATTGACACACTACAAAACCATTCTTTCCAATAAAATCTTATCAAATTTTGAAACTGTACTTTTAAATTATTGCTTTAAATGAATCCAATAAAATTATAAAATATGGATAAATTTAGCTGCAGTCCATCTTAGTACGTCTTATGTAATTCTTATCAGATCACATACTAAGTAGCTTCTAATCAGACATAACATTATTCTTTTTATTCTAGGTTGATCTAATATCTATTCTTTTCACTGAAGAGTGGTGAATCAATTACTTACTTACTTACTTACGCCTGTTACCTCCAATGGAGCATAGGCGGCTCACCAGTTTTCTCCAACCAACTCTGTCCTGAGCTTTCCTCTCCATTTCTGTCCAATGTTTGTTCATTACTCTCATATCTTTCTCTATTTCTCGGCGTAATGTATTCTTTGGCCTTCCACTTTTCCTTTTGCCTTCAGGGTTCCATGTAAGGGCTTGTCTCGTGACACAGTTAGGTACTTTTCGTAGAGTGTGTCCTATCCACTTCCACCACTTCTTCCTGATTTCCTCCTCCACTGGAATCTGGTTTGTTTTCTCCCACAGTAACTTGTTGCTGATCGTGTCTGGCCAACGAATACGAAGTATTTTGCGAAGACAGCTGTTAATAAACACTTGTATCTTGTGGATGATGGCTTTGGTAGTTCTCCATGTTTCCGCTCCATACAGTAGAACTGTCTTGACATTTGTATTGAAAATCCTGATTTTGGTTTTAGTTGAAAGTTGTTTGGAGTTCCAGATATTTTTCAATAGTAGAAACGCAGCCCTTGCTTTGCCAATCTGCGCCCTCACATCTGTATCGGATCCCCCTTGATTGTCGATGATGCTGCCAAGAAATCTAAAGGTGTTAACGTCCTCCAAGGCATCTCCATGAAGAGTGATTTGGTTGGTGCATGTTGTGTTGCGTCGGAGAATTTTGCTTTTTCCTTTATGTATGTTGAGACCTGCTGCTGCAGAGGCTGCTGCTACTGGTGAATCAATAGTATACCACAATTAGAAACTCGATAGAATTGAACAGCTGATTTATCCGAGTATGGAACAATACTCATTAAGAGTGTGGCATCCATGACTCCCGCGCTCATAAGAATCGAAATATCAGCTTATCATTCATTGTATTTATAAATTATTTAAAGCAAATGAAATTGTCCAAGGATAACTAACTTCTTATCATCAACAACGATCAGTTAGAAAATTTGGTTTAAGAATAAAATAATTTAAACAAACGTTACAACTGATAATCCAGTCGATTATATTTTAGTTAAAAACCACTACAGTTTTTTCATGAATGTCGATTATTGATACAATGGATCCTCGTCAACAAATCCTCAACATATAATCTCATATTAGCTTAGAAATGTAATCAACTTGAAATGGTGGAGAAAATTTGTAGCTCAGGTGGATGATTCATTATTCTCCTGCTGGAGAACATTATCAGCACAAACTTTAACTTGAACATAGTCAAATGTTCTGCAATCAGTTTAATTATCTCATCTCATACAAAAATCGAAAATCTAACATTATTCAAAATGAAAACATCTTTTTATTTGAAGGGCAAACCATAGGACAGCTAATTCAATTCTCTAAAATGTTGATTAGTTCAAATCTTCAGTTTTGGAGCCAACTAAAAGAATCTGTGAACAACAGATACCTAAATGCCTATAACTTATCTTCAACAAATACTAATCTAGGGTCCTTCATTTTAGCTCAAATTGTCTAGGAATAAGTGAGTAAATGACATAACAGATATCTTTGTTCTAAATCCCCATTCAACATTAGTTTATGAATAATGAATATTTACACGTTTGAAATCATCAATCAATCATTGTTAGACCACCATTAGAAATCTGGAAGCACTGGACGGCCGTTTCGTTCCGGTATGGGACTAATCAGCAGTGGGCATCCACGACTCCTGTAGGGCTCGCAGGATCCGAACCCGGGAACTTCGGTATTGTGCGCGAACGCCTAACCACTAGACCACTGGGCCGGCATCCAACGGTGTTAATGTCTAACTATGATTGATCCAGGGATTTTGTGCGACCTCACCCGTCTGTCTGTGGTAGTTACTGCCCACATCCGACAGGTTTGAACTCCATTGGTCGCGTCTTCTCAACTAGAACTTCGAGAATTTCCTCACGAAGCTAGTCACTAGTGAACACTGTCACGATATTTTGGGGCACCGCTGGGTGGCGGCCCAGTGGTCCGATGGTTAGGCGTTCGCGCACAATACCGAAGGTCCCTGGTTCGAGTCCCATGTACAGGAGTCGTGGATGCGCACCGCCACTGACGAGTCCCATACCAGGACGAAACGGCTGTCTTTCAGTGCTTCCAGGTTTCTAATGGTGGTCTGACAATGACTGATTGATGATTTCAAATGTGTACAAAAGCACAAGCCTCCAAAACTCTGCCCCAAAATAAATATTTAAACAAATTTATATATTTATATATATATATATATATATATATATATATATATATATATATTGTCATTTCAAAAATAACAGGGAAAAACTAATTGTATTATCATGTTAATAATATTCTATCATGATTCAGTGAATAGCATCAGTTAAAAATATTTCATAAATTATTTTGACTTTAATTTTATGTGTACAAACTACATCAATAATATCGATTTGTGTATTCCACTAGCTGTTTCTTAATTAATTAATGAACTCATTGTTGTGTATATGTCACTCTGTGATGCGACGCCATAATCGTTATCATATTAAATGAAGCCAGATAAAGGAGAGAATATTGATTGTTCAATGATTAAAAAATAATATTTTCTTTCTAATATTTAGTTATGAAAATATTGACGGGAATATTCAAGAAACAAATATTACGGTTCGTTAACTTTGTCTCAGTTTTATGTCAGTCAGTCAGTCAGTTACAATGTAGAACTTCTTATGTAAGTACTTCAGTTCAGGTTGACATACCACATTAGAACAGAGACGCATTTGTCAATTCAGATCCCATACTGGTAGAGATAGAAGGAGTATCACTGGTAATGGAAACGATTAGGATTTGAAGATATTATTCAAGAAGTATAATTCAATGAGATGACTTTATAGGGAGAAAGAGAGAGACGATGAGGAATTCAGGTCAGAATTTCAAAGAACACATCTGCGCCATTACAAACGATTCTGAGCCATATCACTTAAGATCTCCAACCATCGATGACTTTCGTCTCGAGGACCCCAACCAGTTAGTCTACACCAAACAACATGACTCAGTCCACTTGTCACTGACTTCATGGATTTCTGTCATGTTTTGGTTTGGCCACCCCTAGCTTTCTTCCAACCTACTACTACACTGCAAAACATAGTTCGACATGGCAGTCGGTGGTTAGGTATACGTAACACATGTCCCAACCACCTCAACTGATGAAGTATCACTACTTCATCTATTGATTGGCCATCCTTATCTAGTACTTGCTTCCTAATGGCAGCATTGCTTTTATGTAAAAATGATTTCATAGAGTAAGTGATAGAAGTACAATGATAAAAAATATTATATTTGAAAAACATAACATTTTACACGAAAAAAAGTATACAGTTAAAATAAACATTCAGTAATTTTTCTGATAAATATTTAGATTTTAATAATGTATTACAATTCTTTTTGTAAATAATATATATTTTTTTCAAAATATATGTCCATAATCATTAACTTAGTGGTTTTGCTTTGAATGTGTAAAAGATTTTTGCTTTTCAATCAGTTGATTGGTTCAATAAGGGAATAAAGTATAATTTTGATTTCTTAATTATTGAATAACAAATAGTAAAAATATG